TTATTGCTGAGGGGAAAATTCCAGGAAAGCCTGGGGCTTCTAGATAGTATCTGTGAATTTAAGGGTAAAGGAAAATTCCATTTTCTGGGAAATCAGAGAAGCATCCTGCAGATCCAGCAGAACTGATGTGCCTAGTACAGAGTACACATGTGACCACAGAATACAAAGGGAGGACACACATATGAGGACATATGAACATGGAATAGGCATGAAGAGGCACATACAAGCAAACTGGATAGCCATTCCCATGGCCTCCTCCTCCACCATACCTCAGCTACACAGTGGGTCATACTCTTGGCCTTGCCACAGCCCACAAGTGTTCCACTTTCATATTCGTGAACTCTGAAATTCCTTTCATCTTACCATAATTTCTTATCACCCATATTCATCCTCATAATGACCTCCATTCCCTCTACTCCTCATCCCTTTCCCAGGCCAACACTTTTGTACTGGGTAGACTCACTTCCCTTCACTATCTCAACTCCTTGGTTAACCAACTCAACTCTACACTATCCCCCACCCTCAATTCCCTTGCCCCCTTGATCTAATAACTATTAGACTTTGTCCAAAGCTGGATTACTCTCTCTATCTGTCTCCTTTGCTCCTATTCATGTACAACTGACTAAAGCTACATGAAACCACAAAACTGTTGACTGAGCCTACTACAATTTTCTATTGTCCCCTCTCAACTGGGCCTTCATAGCATCTAGGAAAATATTACATTCCTCCCTTATTGATTCACTATCCCACACTCCCCAGAAGCTGTTTCAAACCTTCCCATCTCTCCTCAAGCCTCTCATGGCACACCCTCTCCCTTCGCTTTCAGATGAGGACCGTAATTCTTACTTCACTGAAGAACTTAAGATCATTCATGGAGAGTTCTCCCTTCTTCCCTCCTCCTCATCTCACTTCACTCAGATATCTTCCTATACTCTCTCTTCCTTTACTCCAGTCTTATATGTAGAGATTACCTTTCCCCTTCACAAGGACTCCCTTTTAACTGCCCTTTCACTGTGGCTCTCCTACCACTTTCATTGTCTGCACCAGGCCCACTCCAGGTTACTTGCCACTTCTTAATCTCATCTAGACCTTTTCTCTGTTGCCCCTGGGCCACCCCAGGCTATTTACCACAGTTTAATCCCATCCCTAATCCCTGTGAGATCTTCTCACTGCCTTTTGTTATATATAAATACCAATCTTACCCCCATTAAATTTCAAATATCCCCTAAGAATCTCTCCAGCTCCTATTGGCATCACAATAGCAGATTCACTAGAAATCTTACTATCCTACTGGTGTTACAATAACACCTCCCCACTTTGACTGAAAGAAGGCTTAAGTGGTCAAATTCTTTCAAGGCAGACTGGCCCTGTACCCCTACATTTCAGGGTTCCCAGCACCCCAAACCATAACTACCAGCATTATTCCTATCATATGGCTGTTATGAGAGCCATAATGCATATGCCAATATTGTAGACCACCTACTATATGCAATGACACTAGTACAAATTAAGTATCCCCCCCTTGGAGTTCTGAAGAGAGAAGGGTCATTTACCACTGAGAAAGGACAAAAGTAACTGGGGAAAGCTGTATAGAGGAAACATTTTATAGAACTGGAAGAAACCATAGAGAGTATCTAGAACAGGGTTCTTAGCACTTTTGGTGTCATGGCTCCTTTTAGCAGTCTGGTGAGGCCTATGGATCCCTTCTCAGAATAATATTTTTAGATGCATAAAATAAAACACATAATATTATTAAAGAAGCCAATTATATTGAAACACAGTTCTGAAAATATTTTAAAAACAGATTTGTGGGACTCTGGGTTAAGAACCCCAGATCTAGTACATCTTTCTCATCCCACCATTGAGGAAATTGAAGTGGAAAAGTGAAGAGATGTGCTCAAGAACATACAACTAATAAGTGACTGAGCCAGGACTCAAGCCTAGGGTGTTTGGCTCCACACCCAACATTCTTTCCACTACCCCAACTTTCATCCAGCAAGCTTTTCTCAGTGTACATAAATCTTGTTGATATCTCCAAAAAAATGGGCAGGATTTCAAAAGGTTGAAAGGCGCGGGAGAACAAGGAAGAGGGAGTTGGGAGCAAATTCCCTAGGCCAAAGGGAATCATCTGAGTTTTCCCATCCTACTGATCTCCTAGGCTTCATCACTGTCTCCAGTAACTCATCTTCCTGAGTCATCTCTAAAAGTCATACCTCCCCAGTTACCCCTGTGGCCCTAGGATCCCTCCCTCCTTTTGACTGGAGAGAGTGGAGGACAGATGTCAGAAAGCTCTTCTCAGAGTCTCCATTAGATCTTCATCATACCCTTCCCCACCCCCTTTTCAGCTTTTTTGTAAGTGATTTCTTCAGTCATTAGACTGTCAGCTTCTCAAGGTCAGGGACTGCCTTTTGCCTTTCTTTGTGTTCCTAACACTTAGCACAGTGCCTGGCACATAGTCAGCACTTCATAAAAGTTTGCCAACTGACTGAGTTAGTTGGGCATGGAAATGGAGGAAATAATAACACCAAATTTTCTTTAAATACAAAGAACAACAATACATTCACGGACAGATACACCTCTTCAAAATTATTGCTCAAAATTATTCAAGGCCATCCAGTCCAACTCATGCTTAAACAAGGATCCCCTCTACAACATATCTGACAATCATCAGTTTTTGATTAAAGTCCTCCAATGAAGCAGAGACCATTACTTCCCAGGTCAATCCATTCAACTTATGGATAATTCTAATTGTTCCAAAGTTTGAGATTTTTTCCCCCTCCGTTATTGTTGATGCTGTTATTGTTGTTGTTGTTGTTCAGTCATTTCAGTCATTTCTGACTCTTCATAACCCCTTTTGGGGTTTTCTTGGTAAAGATACTAGAGTGGTTTGCCATTTCCTTCTCCAGTTCATTTTACAGGTGAGGAAACTGAGGCAAACAGAGTTAAGTGACTTACCCAGGTCACACAGCTAGGAAGTGTCTGAGTCCAGATTTGAATTCATAAAGATGAGTCTTCCTGATTCCAAGCCCAGTGCTTTATCCACTGTGCCACCTAGCTGCTCCTTATCAAACCTTAATTTTCTTCTTTCATTTCCTGCTTAATGTTCCAGGGTTGTTCTTTGGGGATGAGTATAATCCCTACACCAGTCCTTCAAACAGTTGGAGATAGTAATTATGTTCTCTCTAAGTCTTCTCTTCTCCAAGTTAAACACTCCTAGTTCTTTCAAATCACACTCATGCGGCGGGAACATGAGACCCTTAACCATTCTGGTTGCCCTACTCTAGATTCTCTTGAAATTACCAATTTTGTTCCTAAAATATGATGCTAGGAACAGAACACATTATTCCCTGTGTGATGTGACCACAGAGGACCATCATATCCCTCGACAGAGCAGTTAGTTAGATTAGCTTTGCACTCGCCACATCACAAAATTGATTATAGTGAGCTTTATTATGTATTTTGAGAAGAGAAATTTATAATTTTCATATTAATTGATATGATATGTGTAATGAATATACTAATAATTTAGTTCTATTAAGAGCTGCCTCTCTGGCTTGGGAGTTAGAGCTCACAATGCAGCTTAAACTAATTAATCAAAACCCTGACAATGCTCACAATCACTGGATCTTAAGTGAAGCGAATCAAAGATGACAGAACCTGTTCCCTTCACAGAACTCTGGCTCAGTACTCTAGGGAGGTGGTCAGGATCCCCAAAGACTTGACTCCAGAACTGTTGTATTGTGGGACCTATGGACTTCCCGTGGGAAACCACTAAATGTTTGTAATCCACCTTCCCCCCTCCTTCCCCACTTATGATTTAAATATATAACCTGTGCTTTTACTTCAGCTGAAAGAATATTCCTCTCTCTGAAACTGATTAAACCACTTGATTCCTGGCACTCCTGTCTCTGGGCCTGCTTTGTGCAGCTCCTAGCATTCTCAGGTTAGAGATTGGCTCAGTAAAAATCTTGTCTATGGGGTAGCTAGGTGGCACAGTGGATCAAGTACTGTCCCTGGAGTCAGGAGGACCTGAGTTCAAATCCAGCCTCAGATACATAACACTCACTAGCTGTGTGACCCTGGGCAAGTCATTTAACCCCACTGCCTAGCCAAAAAAAAAAAAAATCTTGTCCACAATATTAAACCACTAGATCTTTGTCAGATGAATTGCTATATAACCAAGTCTTCTCTATCTTACATTTATAAAGTTGATTTTTTGAACCCCCAAATAAAACTTCACATTCATCCATATTACATTTTATCTTATAGATTCAGCTCAATGTTCTAGCCAGCCAAGTATCTTGTAGGATCTGAATGATGTTGTCTAATGTGTTAGAAACTCACTCTACCTTCCCCCCATGCCCACCACTGACCCCTAATCAGCTTTGAATCGTCTGAAATTTTACTTTTTTTTTTTTTGATGAGGCAATTGGGGATTGAGTGACTTGCCCAGGGTCACACAGCTAGTAAGTATCAAGTATCTGAGGCTGGATTTGAACTCTGGTCTTCCTGACTCCAAGGCCAGAGCTCTATGCACTGCACCATCTAGCTGGCCCCCATCTGAAATTTTAAAAAGGAGGCCATGTAGTCCTTTCTCCAAGATACCTTGAGGGGCACCTACGTGGTAAAGTGGATAGAGTGCTGGCCCTGGAGTCACAAAGACCTGCATTCAAATCTGGCCTCAGACACTTACTAGCTACATGACTCTGGGCATGTCACTTGACCTCTGTCTGTCTCCATTTCCTCAACTGTAAAATAGGATGATAATAATAGCACCTGCTTCACAGAGTTGTTGTGAGGATTAAATGAGATAATATTTGTGAAGTGCTCTTGTCCAACTCTTTGTGACCCCATTTGGGGTTTTCTTGGCAAAGATACTAGAATGATTTACCATTTCCTTCTCCACTTCATTTTACAGATAAGAAAACAGGGTTAAGTGACTTGTTCAACATCACACAGCAAGTAAGTGTCTGAGGCCAGATTCGAACTTAAGAAGATGAGTCTTCCTGGCTCCAGGCCCTGCATTCATACCTGCACATAGTAGGTGCTTAATACATGCTTGTTACTTTCCTTTTCCCACTTTCCCCAAGTTAATAATAAAATGCATTGAACATTTGGCTCTTGGCATGGAACCAAGCACAAATCCCTGAGGGACTCCATGGGAGACTCCCTTTCAATATCAATCCCAACTATTTGGGTCCAGAAATTTAACCAGTTCCAGATCCATCTAATTGTACTACCCTCTTGCTCACAACTCTCCAGCTTTTCCAAAAGAATAGCAATGGATCTGTTTCCTTATTTGTAAAATGATGAATTGTCCCTTCCAGTCTTAGATATTATAATACCTATATGAAGCAGTAATCACTTCTACACTATCTCCAAAAACTGGCCACCCCAGGCAAGATCAGAGGTCCCTCATACTCATTAGTGAATGTATGTGAACATTCTTTAAATAATCTAAATGTTCTTAATGGTGAACCACCATGGGTTAATTATTAGAATTCCTTTCCTTACATTTGACCTAAGCCAAGAGCTTGCTCTTTGAGAATCCCAAAGGGCTTTTCACCCTTTCATCACCAGAGGGAAAAGAATTTGCCACAAAAGGAGTATATGACCTGAGGTTCACATTAGCACAGTGTAGGCTGAGCCAAGAAAAGAACTGAATTCCTGTTATCTTCTATGAGACCATGCTCTTTAACTTTTATAAATTATTAAGATACAACTTTCAGCTATAATCAACTTGCAGTAGCTGGCCGCAGTTTTTAAAATGTGAACTTCCTGATAGAACACAGTCTCCTGAAAAACTCAGCAGGGGAAAGGGTAGTACAAAGGAATCAGAAAAATAGGAGTTAGAAGACTTGCTTTGACACTAGGTTACTTTGACCTTGGGCGAATCTCCTTCCTTCACTGAACCTCAGTTTCTTCTTCTGTAAAGTGAAGGAATTAGACTAGGTGATCTCTAAGATGGGCAAGTAAGCTGCAAAGCTTATTTCCAGCTTTAAAATTTTGTGATTCTATGCTTTATCCCTAAGTTCTACAGATTTCTATTCTTTTTGGACCTTTACAAACTGAAAAGGCATCTTCTTAGAAAGGTTTAGGGCAGGGTTTCTTAAGCTTTTTGTGGCTTATGGAACCCATGGGCAATCTAATGAAGCCTAAAGACCCTTTCTCAGAAGAATGTTTTTAAGTGCATAAAATAAAATACATAGGATTACAAAGAAGCCAAAGATTAGTGAAAATAAAGATTTTTTTTTCCCATCCAAGTTCACTGAAATCTAATAATGGACCCCTGTGGACTCCAGATTGAAAGCCCAGATTTGGAATGAATCTTGCCTAGAGGCAGGTAATTGGGCAAGCTGGCCCCTTAGGGTTAGACTACACCCAAACTTTCAGCCTATTTTGCCATGTCTTATCTAATCCCTTAATAATAGCTAATAAAAATTAAATTAAAGAAAAAATAATAGCTAATATTTATATAACCTTCATTATGTGTCAGATACTATATTAAGCACTTTACAATTATTATTTCATTTGATTTTCACAACAACTCTGGAAGGTAGGTGCTATTATCCCAATTTTACATATGAGGAAACTGAGGCAAACAGATTAAATTTAAGACTTGTCCAGGGTCACACAGCTAAGAAGTATATGAGGCCAAATTTGAACTCAGTACTCTATCCACTGCATCACCTAGCTGCCCGTAGTTAACTCAACCTGGCTCTTAGGATCAAAATAACAGGGTCAACAAACCAGGCTTTCTGGAAACTTCTCCCAGTGGGTGGGGGTTTAGGTTTGTTGTTTTAAAACTTTAGCTACGACCCTATTGATGAAGTCTTTCATCATGTTCGGCCTACAGTCCCCACTCAATGTTATGGGGTGGGGATGCTGATGGCACACCCCATGCACAGCCTTCCAGTTTTGTGAGTCATTTTGTTTCCCCAGCTCTGGAATGATCATCTGGTCTCCACATAATACCTCCTCCTTCTTGACACTTAATGTCTTCACTATGTTTATGTAAGTAGTCAGGGTGACACATCCAATTTTACTAACTGAGAAACTGAGGTTGAACCAGGGAGAGAGGGATCTAGAAAGAAAATTACTTGTCCACAGACACCTAAAGGGCAGTGAAGACAAAAAATGAACCCAGATGCCATGATTTGAGCCACTATTACCCAAACTGGAGAAGAGCCTTGGATAAAAGGGTGAAGAAGTAAAAAGGTACTTCCCTGGCACTTCCTCCCTTTGTCCTCTGGCCTCCACTTTCTTTACCTGTCTTCTCTTATTTTAGAAGTGACAAGGCTCTCCGAACTAGGCTCAGACAACAGGCCCACAATCCTTTATTGAACAAACATTCAAAGTCTTGACAGATCACTCAGAATTACAAGAGCTTGTCTTTCTATGGCATAACCAAGAACCCAGGGTCCTCCCTCACACCTCATACCATGGTGAAACATAAAAGGATTTCAATCTTATATTTTTAAAAGTATGTTAAAAAAAAGTTTCATGTAGGGTCTTATTTTTAACATTTAAATTTGTTTATAATCAAGGCATGTGGTATAATAACCTAGTCTCTCCCCTGATATCCTTGAAGACAAGATGGAGCAATGTCAACCAAGCCCATGTGTTCATATCTCTTGCATTCTTACCCCTTCTTTCCACTCACGCAGCTACTGCCTGACCTCAGGCCCTCATCCCCTAAATTACTATGCTAGCTTCCTGATTGGTTTCCTTACCTCAAGTCTCTCCCCACTCCAATCCATGCTACACACTACTGCCAAAGAAATTTTCATAAAATACAGATCTGACCGTGTGACTCTACTAAATCAATTCTAGTGGCTCCCTATTGACTAGGGAAAAAATGTGAGCTCCATTTAGCTTTCAAAACTATACAATATAGCTTTAACCTATCCTCCCAATCTCATTGAGCATAAATCCCCCACCTGCTCTCCACAATCCAGCCAAACTGGCCTTCTCTCCATTCTTCCTACATAATACTCCACCCTCTGCCTCTGATCTACTGTACTAGCTGTCCTACATGCCCGAGATGCAGACCCTACTTCCCTTCCCCTTGTAGACTTTCTCCTCCTTCAAGTTGCAGCACAAGTATCATCTTCTACACGAGCCTTTACTGATTCTCTCAACCTCTATTTCCCTTCTTCCCAAACTACCTTATATTAATTACTTTTAAGTCCACAAGCATTTGTGCGTTTATACATATATGTGTGTGTGTATATATACATATATATATTATATACATATGTGTCTGTGTGTGTACAGTTGTTCAGTCAATTCAGTTATGTTCGACTCTTTGTGACTCCATGGACCATATTTGGCAAAGGTATTGGAGTATCTCGCCATTTCCTTCTCCAGTAGATTAAGGCAAACAGTGGTTAAGAGACTTGTCCAGGATCACACACCAGATTTGAACTCAGGTCTTCCTGATTCCAGGCCCAGTCCTCTATCCACTGATTTAAGATCATCATAGATAGAATTGTTTCATTGTTTGTAATTTTATCCCTAGCACCTAAATAATACACATACTTGATTGATTGATCAATTGATATTAATAAATATTGTTAACCTGGAGGAAGGTCCATAGTGGAGAGTCCCAGGGATCTCTCCTCGTCCTTACTCTGTGCAACACTTTTATCAGTAACTTGGACAATAGCATAAAAGATGAGATGGTTGTTACATTTGCAGATGACAGGAAACTGGGAAGGACAGTGCACATAGGCTGGCATCCCAGAAAGAGGCTGACAAAACTCCAAAGACAGGCCAAAACTAATGAGATCACACATGTCCCTATTAAATTTAAAATCTTGAATGATCAATTTCCCATGTACAAGATAGAAAAGACAATGCTGGAATACACGTGAAAAAGATCTGAGGATTTTTGTGGATTGAAAGCTCATTATGTGTCAACAATGTGACAAGGTAATTCCAAAAAGTGAATACTATTCTAGGTAGCAGTGAAAAGCACAGGATCTCCATATATACCAAATATTTCTAGCAGTATTTTTCATGATAGCAAAGAATTGGGAATAAAGTAGATGTCCACCAGCCAGGTAATGACTAAACCAATTGTGGTACACAAATATAATGGAATATTATGTAATAAATACAAAGAAGCATGGAAATATCTACCTATCCTCATGCAGAGGGAAGGAATCAGAGCCAAGAAAACAATATACACAATGAGTACAACAATATAAATGGAAAGAAAAAACACACAAACTCATAAACAATAATAAATGTTGCATGAACATGCATGCTTTACAAAGAACAAAACTGGCTCACAAGAAGAGATGTGAGAGAGAAAAAACCCATGTCACCCCTTTGCAGAAGTGTGAAGTCTACAAATGTACATGGTGCATATTTTCAGATTTTTTTTCAATGTATTGATCAGTTTTGCTGATTTTTTTCTTTTTTTTTCTTTTCTTTCTTTTTTTGTTATTGTTAAAGATATCATTTGTTATATAGGATTGCTCTCTGAGAGGGGAAGGAATACTGGGAGAAATCATGGTGATGTAAAAAGACATCAATTAAAAACTTACATTAAAAGAGAAAAGCATAATTTCCAGAGGGAAGGACTAAGAACAAAAGTAGAAGGTCAGATAATGGATCACATAAAGGAAACACTTCTAACAATTAGTTATTCAACAATAGAACAGCCTGCTTCATAAAGTAGTGAGCCTTTTGTACCTAGAACTATTTAAAAAGAGACTACTTACCCATCTGTTAAAGATAAAGATTCCTGTCTACAGTGAAGAGTTATGCTAGATGGCTCCTAAGACCCTTTTCAGGTCTGTGATTCCATAGCATTGTCACTCATGCTCACACATCTCTCCTCCTTTTCCACAAGTCAGCTAATTCAACAAGCATTTCCCAAAGCTGGAATATTCTTTGTAGAAGGCAGAAGAGAGGACCTGACCTGGTTCCTTCATCCTAATTGGAGAGATATGAGGGAAAAATATGAACGGGAAGCATGAAGACAAAGAATAGTTAAAACAAAAAAGAAAGAAATTCAAGTTACTACTCAG